TGAGTTGTGGACAATACATCCTTTGATTATCGCTTTCATGGGTGCCTCGAACGTCTCCCGCGACTTTTTCTTCGCCGTTCACTGGAAGAAGACGTTTGACTACAGTGTGGCATTGCACCAGATTCCAACTGTCTGTGATCCCTGCCTCGAGCTTTCACACGGGCCAACTGCACCTCGTTTCGCTCAAAAGAAAGCCGCTCGCTTTACAAGACACTAATCGTCCCTCGTCCTCGCGGCCTCGCCCTTGACAGCGGCCAGTTCGTCAGCAAGTCGGTTGTACTCTGATACACGAAGTGGGATGCCTTGGGTCAGAGACTGTGATGCAATCGGCTCTCGTCCAGCTCCCAAGACTACTTACCAGCTTGCTGTTGAGCGACCTGCTTCTTGAGAGTAGCTGGAGCAGGCCGTTGCATACGCCATGAACAGGTCAGAAAGGTGCTACCACGTAGTACAGACTGCGCGGCATAATTAAGCTCACCAATGTTGGAGTCACTAGCAGGTTCGGCTTGAGTCTTGCCTGCAGCCTCTTGGGCTTGGATCAGCTCAGTGATGAGGGCATAAGTGCGTGCAAGAATTCTGTCCAAGTCATGAGGTAGAAGCATGATATAAGCAAGGCATAGCGAGTAGATCGGGTGCTGCTGCCGCACAAGCACTCACAGGGAGCAGAAAAGGCAGAAGCCGCAAAGGTAGCAGTTTCTCCTGAGGGGGAAGTAAACGTTGCCGAACTATGGCGTCAGTATGACAGGAACGCGGGAGCATGCAGATCCTGCTCGCAGCACACTCGACCGACTTACTGTGCAAAAGCGAGTCTCAGAAGCATATCGTGGTGAGCCGTGTCGCGGACGCCCAGCTGCTCCTTTGCTTGTTGACGCTCTGCCATGGTCTTGAGCAGTCTCTGACAGGCATCGACGAAGAGAATGGACACGAAGATGATACTGATCTTGACACCATACAAGACCTTTCCAACAATGGCATTCGTCGCAAAGAAACGGAAGATTGCGCGACGGATCTTAAAGGGAAAGGGCAGAATACTAGTGGCCCAGATGAACGGAAGCGGATGGATCAGACTGAGGCAGCGCGATTGAGGCGGACTGCACATGTTGGGGTCGGCTCACAGCAGTAAAAATACGATCATCTCCGAGACCAGCAGGCCAAAGCAAAGCGAGTAGTGGATCTGAGA